ATTAATTATATTATACCAATTATACGGGTTATTATACCATTTTTATTATACGGTATAATATAATTGCCCATCCCTAATACCGGGTATCATACCTTACGGGCATTTTTAGATTTTCCTTTTTTTTTTTTTTTTTTTTTTTTTTTTTTGAATATTTGATACTAAATTCTCAATAAAAATATCGCAAAATCAATGCAGAATCCATGAAAATACTGTGGAAACCGTGCAGAATTCACTAGACTGATTCGCAGAATTTGTAATCACCGCAGAAAATCATCGTCTCTACTAATTACAGGCTTAACGTTGGACATGGATTACAGCAAATCAGTATGGTGTGGGTGAGCGGTTAAACACCATACTGATCCTAACCATAACGAAACTCCTCGTTAGACAGTTATCATTTATTATTGTTGCACAAGATCCTACTACATGATTGGTTTATCATATGGCATAAATTTACGCGACTCTTACATATTATATAGAATTGAAAGTAACATCTCATTTTTTAAAAACAAATGAAGCACAATGACCTTACAAAGCTTTATCAAAAGAAGGTTGATACGTATCTTAAAGATGCTAAAGAATATATAATGCTTAATGGAGACACGGACATTGAGCCTGAAGATAAAGAAATAGAAAGACAACAAAAAAAATTTCAAGAACATGTTGAAAGATTTATTAAAAACTTTGGTAAAGAAGCCTCAGACTATATAGAGAAAAGCCTGAAGGAATATACAGAAACGCATGAAGGGAAAAGGCCACCCAAGCAATGGGAAAAGGAACAACGATTTTCATTTGTTGAAGAAAGAATAGCAGTCCCTATTGAAAGGTTTAAAGAAAATTTTTTCAAAAGATTTCAATATGAACCTCAAAAACAACATTTATTAAAGTATACAGATTATGGAATAAAACATTTATTTTATGAATCATGGAAAGAGTATCATATTAAGCTTTCTAACAAAAGCAAAAAGAATGGGACTGAACAGGACAATAATGGAGTTATCAATCGATATGGATATCACGAGGAAAATCCATCCACACGTCCAATAAATCCATTTAAACGAGCGCAAAAGATTGGAAATGAAAAATATAGACAACGGCAAATAAGACAAGAAAATGGTAAGAGTCCAGTTAATCCATTTATACAAGCGCAGCCAAACGGACAGAAACAAGAAGAGATGACAATAGCAAAAGAGGAGGCAAAATTAACATCAGATGATACAATTAAACAAATATCAAAGCGAACATTTAAAGATGATATTGAAGAACAAATATTTTCAGCACTTCAGGAAGCACCAGATTTCGTGCAACGACAACAAGGATTGATACCACCACCAAAACCAATAATTAACATTATAGATGAAGGAGAAAGTTGGCAAGAAAAAATCAAAAAAACAGGTTATGATCCCAGAAAGGATCCCATTATTACACCTTTTATAGCTAAACTTGTAGAAGAAGGAATCGAAATTCCAGGCATGAGAGGCATAGAAATTATAGATGATTTTATTTAGAGTTAGTACATATGTACGTACAATATGTAGGATATCTTGATAGATAACCTCATTTTAATTAATAATTATCCGAATTTATATTTTACGTATATATTATTAAAATTATTTTTTTGTTACAATTTTTATTAAAAGTACGAATAAAATTAGTATAATAAAAAATTTCCCTAAAAAAATTAATTTTGATTTAAAAACTTTATTGGTCGATCAAATTTAGAGTTGCATATGATTACTGATCATATGGGCTGCCATCAAGCAAATCTACATTTGAAAAAAAATCACTACTTTAAATTTCACAGCTCATATCTCGATGAATTTTAAAGCTATATTGATGATTTAATATTCAAAAGAAAGCTTACAATTTAAGCTTTCTTTTGAATATTAAATCATCAAGATACTTTTAAAATTTATTGAGATATGGGATGAGTCAGTAGAAACGCACCAAATTTGGTTTTTTTCAAAAATGAGATATAAATATATTTTATTATAAAGAACAAAATTTTATTAATAAAGATTTGAAAAAATAAGATCCAATATAAAAATTTGTAAAAATCAGTTTTGGTTCGATTGTGATTGACCTTAGATCGAATTTTAAGTTCGAATGCTAATCAAATCACGTGATAATGCATTTGTGTAACAATATTGGGTGTTTTATAGTGTTTTAAGCTGGCTAATGCAGCCATAGCTAAGCTGGCTTAGCCAGCTAAGCCAGCCGATACAAAATGATCGGCTGGCTAATATGGCTAAATTACATGACTCTTGCTTCGAATTGGCCAATCAAATTGTAAATAAAATAAAAATTATAATAATTATTAATTAAAACTACAGTATTTTTTTATTATGATAACCTTGTCTGGACTTTTAATATAAGTTGTAGAGAAAGTTATTGTGATTCTAATGATAGTAAGATCATTAAAATCAGCCTTGTAGATCATGAAATATGTGTAAAAAATAGTTACAATTCTTTAATATTCTTAAATTTTTTAAGAAATTTTAAAGAATTATAACAAATTTTTACATATTTCTTATAAAATACTAGGCTAATTTTAATAATTTTACTATTATTAAAATTACAATAACCTCTTCTACAACTTTTATTAAAAGCCTAAGTAAAGTTATTATAATAAAAAAATTAGTTTTAAGGGTAGAGTATATAAATTTCTAATTTCATATAAAATAGATTGTAGATCAACTTTGTGTAATCAATTTTATATGATATCATATGATTTACATATAAACATTATATGATTTGATTAATCAGAATTGGCAATTTTTTGTGTAATCTTAGAAAAACATAGAGGCTTCTCAGAAAACTTTGGTAATATATGAAGTGAAATTTTCTTGAATAAAACAAGTTTCAAAACTATTATTACTATAAATAGAAGTTCTTGTCTACATGTTATGAAATTTTGGTAAAAATTCGTTAAAGCATTAAAAAGTTTTGCTTGTAACGAATTTTTACTTCCTATATAAAAATCTGTGATACCATGTAGATCATATGAAAAATGATCTATGCACACCCTACTCTTAATTAATAGTTTTTTATTATTACCTTATTTATGATTCTGTTGGTTAATTCTAAGTATAAAGGTTATATAACTTTTTTGAAATCAGCAAATCTTCTCTAATTTGCCTTTATAGTAGCTCATATTATATAATACAAACAAAAACATATAATATATTATTTTCTATTAGTCAGTTATTAGCTAACCATTAACTAGCTGATAGTTTAATTGGCTATTATATAGCTTAAAATACTAGTTACATGATAGTTTACCTTTCTATTGGTCAGCTATTAACCAGCTATTAGCTGATATTTTAATTGGCTAGCTTAATTAGCTGATCTAAATTATGTAGTTTAATATATTAGTATTTTAGTAAAAATAAGTAGATTATGGATCTATCAAAATTCAGCAAATCAAACCAAATTTAGGTCAGAATAGGTCAGAATTAATAAATTTTTTCTAAAATCACTACAAATTTTAATAATAAAGTAATAGCCTAAATACTAAGTAAAGCTTCCCAAATGATAATTTTGCTATAATATAGTTGGCCAATATTATTGCTTAATATCAGTAAATTTTTTAAAGTAATAAGTATTGTTACAGATTAAAATGAAATCTAATCAAAATGAAATTTTTCTATTTTTTAAAGAAAATTTAAAAATTTTTGAGTCATTTTTGAAGTTTTTTTTAGCATTAGGGTAAAGTTTAGAGTTAGATTTATTAATAAATGAATATATATAAGTTTTATAAGTTCTAAGGATAGATATTTTTAAATTGTAATATAGGCAAATTTGACTGCATTTATTTTTTTAAACTTTATTTTTTTAATAAAATTTTAAATATTAATTTTAGCAATATACTTTCTAATTAAA